GGGGGCAGCAGCTGCCTGCCGGGGCAGGATGTGACGAATCGCCTCAGTCTGCTTCTGTGCAGCCGAGAACTGCTGGGCGAAGCTCTCGACCGCATCGCCGAAGAGGCCGGTCTGGGACACGGGGGCATTGAGGAACCACACTTTGTCGGCGTCCCTCATGTCGGCCAGACACAGCCAGAGATGGCGCTCCTGGACCACAAGCGTGGACATCGCATGACCCAGAGAACTCGCTGTGACCTTCGTCGCTCGGAGCGTGAGGTCAGTGGCGGTTCGGAGCTCTTTCAGAACTTCCGGATCGTGACCACCCTCGTGCATGTGACGAATCGCCTCAGTCTGCTTCTGTGCAGCCGAGAACTGCTGGGCGAAGCTCTCGACCGCATCGCCGAAGAGGCCGGTCTGGGACACGGGGGCATTGAGGAACCACACTTTGTCGGCGTCCCTCATGTCGGCCAGACACAGCCAGAGATGGCGCTCCTGGACCACAAGCGTGGACATCGCATGACCCAGAGAACTCGCTGTGACCTTCGTCGCTCGGAGCGTGAGGTCAGTTGCAGTTCGGAGTTCCTTTAAAACTTCCGGATCATGACCATCCTCGTGCAGGTCTTTCAGTGCTTGAGCCTGGTGGACCTGCAGTAACGCCATGGCGTGTAAGGCGGAGGTAGCCTCTCCACAGGCCGCATAAGCACTGCCGGTCAGACCAGACGAATACTTACAGGCCCGGGAGGGAAGGGACGGTTTGACCCACCAGGTGGAGGCGGTATTAGGACACAACTGCATCGCTACCGACCGCTCTACCGGGGCCTCTCGTGCCGGTCAGACCAGACGAATACTTACAGGCCCGGGAGGGAAGGGACGGTTTGACCCACCAGGTGGAGGCGGTATTAGGACACAACTGCAAGTTTGTTTCCACTCGAGCCCTACCCTCTCGGCTGCCCGGGAAAGCATAGCTGTCATCTCTGGATCCGATTCAGGCTTTGCTACCATCCCGGAGGGTGGCAGTGCAGCTGAATCTTCCTCTCCAAAGAGCTCCGGCTCCGATCGTCGGGATGAGCCCCAAAGGATACGGCTGGTACGCTCCTTTCAGAGAGCCCAGCACGTTCCTGAGGGAGCTCAACTGGTTGCGGAGTGCTAGAGGAGTGAGGGACCTTCGGAGGTTGGATCCTCGGAGGGGTCGCCACCACTGTGATCCTCAGACCACCCAAGCTACTGCCTGAAGTAGTCCTCCCCTGACTTCTGCCAAGAAGAGAACTAGATCAAGACAGAGGCACCAGAACTCCACTCCTTTTGAGATAATGGAGCCTGGCCCGTAACTCCGAGATGGTCATCTTCCCCCAATGAGAACATGACTCATCCACGAAAGCAACCTCAGCGTGCTTGACGCCAAGGCACGTGAGGCAGCGATCGTGACCATCACCCGCCGCCAGATAACGACCGCATACAGAAACGCACGGGTGAAACGGCATCTATGCCAAGACGCAACGTCGTCTTTACAAAGACGCAGCATCAAGTTGGCACAGACACAACATTGTCTTTAAAAAGACGCGCCCACCCGTGAATGCTCTTTTAGGGAAAAAGGCTCTTTTAGCGTGCTGAAGCATACAGGGGAGATGGCCGCCTGCAACACAAACAAGGGGTAGTGCAGCCTGATTTGGGGAATTATTCATTTAAAATCTAAAAAAAATTAAAAATAAATAAATAATAATAATAATTATGATTTTCCAAAAAGAGACAACAATGCTTTCTAAGCCCTTGATCTCATGAAAATCATGTTTACAACAAATCATACTTCACTTCATAAACCTGTATGCAGTTATTTTTTTCTACAGACTTGAAACATTTTGAATAGTCCCCATATTGAATTCTTTGTTTTGTATTTATGTATGCTTTTCAGTTGAATTGTTGCTGGATGAAAAAGTAAAAAAAACCAAAAAACCCATGTTTTGGAATGACATGAGGGCGATTAAATAATAACAATTTTATAATGATGATTTCCCAAAAAGTGTGGCAACAATTGATGTCATTTAAATCATATATAACAAATCAAACATCACATTATAGATCCTCCTTATACAACCTCCTCAGCAAATGTCTTAGAATAAAGGTACATAACATAAACCATGAAGTCAATAACTAAAAATACAGTGTAAAAATGATTTTTCAAAGTTGTAAATAAAAAGTATGTTTTACTAGAAAATACTAAATTTCATGTTTTATTCAATGTGTTACTCAATTCTTTGTCATTGTGAAATTGACTAGCAATCCAACCAGTCAACCTCGAGGTTAGGACACAACTGCAAGTTTGTTTCCACTCGAGCCCTACCCTCTCGGCTGCCCGGGAAAGCATAGCTGTCATCTCTGGATCCGATTCAGGCTTTGCTACCATCCCGGAGGGTGGCAGTGCAGCTGAATCTTCCTCTCCAAAGAGCTCCGGCTCCGATCGTCGGGATGAGCCCCAAAGGATACGGCTGGTACGCTCCTTTCAGAGAGCCCAGCACGTTCCTGAGGGAGCTCAACTGGTTGCGGAGTGCTAGAGGAGTGAGGGACCTTCGGAGGTTGGATCCTCGGAGGGGTCGCCACCACTGTGATCCTCAGACCACCCAAGCTACTGCCTGAAGTAGTCCTCCCCTGACTTCTGCCAAGAAGAGAACTAGATCAAGACAGAGGCACCAGAACTCCACTCCTTTTGAGATAATGGAGCCTGGCCCGTAACTCCGAGATGGTCATCTTCCCCCAATGAGAACATGACTCATCCACGAAAGCAACCTCAGCGTGCTTGACGCCAAGGCACGTGAGGCAGCGATCGTGACCATCACCCGCCGCCAGATAACGACCGCATACAGAAACGCACGGGTGAAACGGCATCTATGCCAAGACGCAACGTCGTCTTTACAAAGACGCAGCATCAAGTTGGCACAGACACAACATTGTCTTTAAAAAGACGCGCCCACCCGTGAATGCTCTTTCAGGGAAAAAGGCTCTTTTAGCGTGCTGAAGCGCACAGGGGAAATGACCGCCTGCAACACAAACAGTGGGTAGTGCAGCCTGATGTGTGCAACCCACTCAACACGGGAAAAATGACCGCGCCATTCCGCCAACACAAAAAGCTCCCAGAGAGCGCGCTGAACTCATCCATTCACTCAAAGCTTGGCAGGAGCAGAACGATGATATCGCTCGGCTCCGAAGCGAAAAGCTGAATATGTGGTGCATCTGCTGCCTATTGGGATTGGCTCGTTTAGTTTACACTCGAAGTAGATTGGTCTCTCTGGCGAGATTTCCAATTCTTCGGTCACTGACGTGACGTCGAAAGTGACCGACTGAAAGGGAACTTGGGTGGCTGCACTTCCAAGTTTTTTTTTTGTTTTTATATATATTTGAGATATTTCAACAAAGCAAGATAAGCCTTAGTCAACAAGAAATTCAGTTTGAAAACTATTTTACTTTCATAATGTAACATGTTTCCGATTTATCAAACATCACATTATAGATCCTCCTTATACAACCTCCTCAGCAAATGTCTTAGAATAAAGGTACATAACATAAACCATGAAGTCAATAACTAAAAATACAGTGTAAAAATGATTTTTCAAAGTTGTAAATAAAAAGTATGTTTTACTAGAAAATACTAAATTTCATGTTTTATTCAATGTGTTACTCAATTCTTTGTCATTGTGAAATTGACTAGCAATTTCCGAGTAAAAAAATTGTTTCTTTTTTTCAGTATAGAAGCATAACTACTTTCAAATGATCTTTTTTAAGGCTCAAAGATCTGACATCTATTTCCTCCTGAAGGGAAGATTTCTAATCACAGCATCAACTAAACACTGACGACATTAGCCGAAAGGTTGTTGACCCTTATCTCCACTATCTTGTAATCGTTATCTCTCAGTGTATGCGACATGCCCACTGTTGTTGATGTGGGGGAAAGCGGTCACACAGGAGGGGGGAACGGGAAGGTTCTGGGGAAACATGAGAGCATATCTAGCAGTCACCTTTTACTCACCCACTTTGGCGTATTACTGACAACTGATGCATAATAAATACACTCCACTAAGGGTCCATTATCACGCAATCAATATTTCACAGAGGGCTGTGCAGAGGACCAGATGTGTCTGTTTCTCTGCGAGCATCGTGTGGCGGTGGGGATGTACAGTATAAAAATCATAAGCATAAACGAGTCTATCTTTTATTCTCCTGACCCGCCTGACGTGACTTCGGTTCTTTAATCCACTGCCCCCCCCTCCTCTCGACGTCAGGATGAAGCGGCAGCTGCTATTCTCAGACGCTTTCTCCCTTACGGTAGAATCGAGCTGTAATAGATAGGCCGAACCATCTGACATGAACTTTTGGGAGTAGGGAAAACAAATATTTGAACCCTTGCTGGCCCCCATTAGCCCTGCCACAGAGAATCTATATGTGCGAATCAGTCACTGTCATCTCTCTTCATTTAGATTTCAGCTTCCATCTCGCAAATTCATCCAATTCTTCGGTCACTGACGTGACGTCGAAAGTGACCGACTGAAAGGGAACTTGGGTGGCTGCACTTCCAAGTTTTTTTTTTGTTTTTATATATATTTGAGATATTTCAACAAAGCAAGATAAGCCTTAGTCAACAAGAAATTCAGTTTGAAAACTATTTTACTTTCATAATGTAACATGTTTCCGATTTTAAAAAGATAATCACTGAAAAAAAAAAAATGTAGGATGTGATTCAATGAAAAGTGGGCATTACATACCAGAATGGAGTCCAATGGCTGGAGAGTTAAGTAGGATGGATTTGTGGCATCATCTGAAATAGAAAGTTGTTTCAGAGGTGAATCAGAATCAGAATCACAAAATCAGAAATAAAGTGCAGCAATGAAATATACTGTAACACTAACATATGGTAAACAGTTTCAGATTTGAATTAATGACATTGATCATGATTATTACTAGAGGGACCTGTTTTAATGCAGCATTATTTTAGTCGAATTTCAACCTGTTCTTTCGTTTCAACCCTCTAGCTACATAGAGAGTCAAGCCAACCTGGAGAACATCACAGACATAGACCTCACCAACTACAGAGAACTGAAGAACCTGTAAGTATAACACAGTCTACAAAAGATGTATAAGATTCCAAAAGATTTTCAAGCAACTTAAGGTTTTAATGAGACTTTGTGCATTCATATATGTATTTCAGGACGGTCACAGATTGTGGGTTGGTGTACATCTCTGAAAATGCATTCCAGCATAATTTCAAGCTTCAGTATGTGTGAGTATTCTTTAGATATACGACTGACCTTCCCACAATACACTTGGGTCTCAGAGCTTGTACCTGTCAATCATTTCAAACCCTCTTCCCTCCTGATAAGTGAAGCTGCTTTATTGGTCTCAGGTGGTAAAAACCCAAGACACATTTAAAGTTAGTCATCAACCAAATGAATACGGAGGAAAACATTTCCACATTTCACATCCAGAAATCATTTGAATGCATTCATTTTCCCATAATTCAAAAGGAAATTTGCAGAGATAATCATCATGTATTTCAAGAGCATAAGAGCAATCTGAAAAACTGTGTTTGGTAGGTGTTTGACTTTATAAAATCAGCTTGGCTCATGAATATTAATTACATAACATGACATCCAGTAGTTCTTCCTGATTTGCTATTTGCAATGCAATCATGTGACAGAGGCTTTTGCAAATTAAATGAACAGTTCACCCAAAAATGAACAATTCTGTGATTATTTATAATAATAATAATAATAATTAATTACATTTATATAGCGCTTTTCTAGGCACTCAAAGCGCTTTACATAGTCACTGTCATCTCTCTTCATTTAGATTTCAGCTTCCATCTCGCAAATTCAATTAGACAGGACAACGAAGAATCAGAAACCATGAATTGAGAAGTTTTCTGTTCACAAAACGATGCAAAATATCCATGAAACTGTGTGCGGTGAACACACAGGTCTTCAAAATTCACTCTCTCGCTCTTAGTCAAATTTGTTTTAGCTTGTCTGTGAGAAAGAGAAGAAATTCACTCAACTAATTAAGCTTGAGTCCAGTTGTCAGCCAATACAGAGAGATGCGTGCCAGTGCTATTTAGAAATGCGGTGCTGCTATGAAATATTTTGCTGCATTGAATCTTGTTACTGCCGCTCATGTATGAGGTTTGAGATTTATACAAACTCCTAAGCTTAAATATTGCTCTTTGGAGCATAAAGCATACTGTATGTTTGTGCTGCAGACATAAAAAATAACTCAAATCATGGTATTTTTACTTTTCTAAGTGAGTGGACTTTAGATTATCAACTGGAGGACAATAAAACTGCTAAAAAAAAATAAAAATCCCACTTACATTAAAGTGTTTATCTAAATACCAAAACAATGTCTTGCAGGTAGTGTTATTTTGGAATTATTTATATACAATTAGAGTATTTATTATTATTTTCAATTGGCTGTTATTTTTTTATCATTTCAGTTTTCATTTTTAGCTTAGGTTTTAGTAATTTTTAATGTGCTTTTGTGATTTTTTTGTATTTCTATTAAGCCTTTTTTTCAGTCTTAGCAATTTTACTTCAACTTATTTTATCTTACTTGGTTACCAAGGCAACATTTCAAATTTTCATTCAATTTTTGTTTTAAGGTTTTTAATCTAACATGTATATTTTATTTCAGCTTTATTTTAATTAGAAAAAAAACTATTTTTAATAGTTTTAATTTTAGTAACTATATTCCTAAATATAGTAATTATATTGAATATTAGTCAAATATAGTACCACTTTACTTTATTTATTTATGAGTTAATGCATTAAAAATTTATTGTCAGTGCATTAATTATGCCTTGTAATGCACCTTAAAATGTAATGTATGATATGAATGTATTTAGTATTTCAATAAAACATATTACAAACCACCAGATGTAAGGAATCTGAAAACATTATAGTGCATTTTAACTTTGGTTACAATTATTTTATATATATATATATATATATATATAATGTATATTATGATATTATTATAATGCATTACACATAAAGGCTTTAAGTAAAGTGTGACTAAAAATAATATTCAGTTTTTCTACTTCAAAATTACATTTAATTCTGTGTTACTTGCTGTTTTTTGGTAATTGTTTGTTACATTTATTAGCAATTTCTGAGTGAAATTATCTTTTTTTTCCCCGGTGTAGCATCACAGCAGCACATTTTACAGTATTTATACTCTCGTCAGAAAACATAAAAATCTAGTTATGTGATAAAATTCCTCCAAACAGGGTAAACTCTCTGTATCTGAGCTGTCTACACTATATTTTTTATTTGATTTTTTAAAGAAAATAGTCCTATTTATGAAGAGTCTATTTAACTGTTGTACAACAGAGCTCATAGAATTGAATGCATGAGAATATGCATCTCTCTTTTGCATGTGTAATTCACATCTTCTCTTGTCTTACAGAAACCTGGCCTCAAATTCACTGGTGCATATCAGTTGGAGGGTGTTCCAATCGGTCCCTCTGTTGAGTCTGTGAGTAACACGCTGCACTGAGATTTACAGATGTATTCTACTCTGCTGGTGATTCGAGACCGAAAATGTGAACAATTGACCTCTGTCTGAAAAGTTTCAATGACAGATCTGAGGTCCTGCGCAAAAAGCAAGAAATAAGCATAAGAAATGACACCTGCTTCTCTTTTGCACAGAATCTTGAGGGACAATGCGCTCACCTGCTCATGTGACATTTACTGGCTTCAGCAGTGGCACAGAAAAAGACAAAGCGACACTGACTCTCAACAAAACTGCATGTACAATGGCAACAACATTCAGCTGGATGCATTTGAAATGGATAACTGCAGTAAGTGCTCTTATCTGGAACGAAACATATTTCAGGATACAGTGTCTTATTCTACTTACTTCTATCCCGTTTAAAGTGAAGAGACAATAAACAAGCCATTCATAGACTGATTTCCCCAAAAACTTGGGACGGAGCTATTCATTTGACCGACCAATGGCAAGTGTTTAGGAAACCTGTTTGAAATAATCATTATTTATGATCAATTACATACTTTGCCTTTAAGATATTGAAACAAAATTGTCATGATTGATACTTTACAATATTTCACACACCATTGTTGAATAATAAATGTGACCCTGGAGCACAAAAGCAGTCTTAAGTCGCTGGGGTATATTTGTAGCAATAGCCAAAAATACATTGTATGGGTCAAAATTATTGATTTTTCTTTTATGCCCAAAATCATTAGGATATTAAGTAAAGATCATGTTCCATGAAGATATTTTGTAAATGTATCTCGGACAAATATTGTCCCATCCTAACAAACCATACACCAATGGAAAGCTTATTTATTCAGCTTTCAGATGTATAAATGCATAAATCTCAATTTAAAAAAATTGACTGGTTTTGTGCTCCAGGGTCACAAATTTGGAGTCTCTCATACTAAGGCTGCATTTATTTGATCAAAAATAGAGTAAAAACTGTGAAATATTATTACAATTCCAAATAACTGTTTTCTATTTGAATATAGTTTGAAATGTAATTTATTCCTGTGATGCAAAGCTGAATTTTCAGCATCATTACTCCAGTCTTCAGTGTCACACAATCCTTTAGAAATCATTCTAATATGCTGATTTGGTGCTTAAGCAACATTTCTCATTATTATCAATGTTGCAAACAATTGTCATCCTTTTTTTCCCAGGATCTTTTGATTAATAGAATGTTCAAAAGAACAGCATTTATCTGAAGTAGACACACTTTATAGTGTGATATTTCCTGATCTTCTTCCCCTTTGTTTTCTGTTCTTTCTCAATGTCCTTAAACTAAAACTGGCTAAATGTTTTGTGGTCTGAAGGCATTCCTGAGGTCACAATTCACCCATCGACACTGACCACTCAAGGAGGTGGAAATCTGACATTTACCTGTCTGGTGACTGGAGTACCAACACCGACGATCCGCTGGAGAACAGAGCATCTACAGTCCAACTGGACCCTGCAGGTACATGCCACTGCTTTCAGATAAGGACGCTGTCAATGAAGTAATCGATGGAAACTGCCCAATGTGATTAACCATGTACTTGAATGAAGGTCATTTGTTGATACTGGGACATAAAAAACATGCAATCATAACTCTAACCCTTTTGATGTAGTATTCCTCAGTTGTAAGTCACTTTGGGCAATTGATACATGTAAAATTGGTTGAAAGGACTCTTGTTCAAGCCCCTTACCCCAGTCCACTAAAATCTGGTTGGATGATTAAACGTTGTTGCAGGACTTACTTTCTCAGTCAGTTAAATCTTGCCTACATCCATCCTTGTCCGCAGCAAGGAATCTGGGGTTCAACCCTGGAGCTGGTTCTCCACATGAGGAACATGTCGTCTGGAGACAACCTGCACAACCTCACCTGTGAGGCGGAGAATCGCGCTGGAATGGGAGAAGCCATGGTGCAGCTAGACATTGAATGTATGTGCTGAATCTTTTCTGCTCTTTAATTTCCGTCATTTTTTTATTACTATGTACATTGTTGTTTTTCTTTTGGAAAACACACCCTAGTGAAAAATAAACGTACTTGAATGTATTTGAAATACATTTATTTTATGCTAAGTATACTACAAATACCTTTTCATATTTATGTACTTAATAAAATACCCTGCAATTAAACTGGTATACTTAAAGTCTGCTAAATTGGAACAACTAATTTTGTACTTAATGCACTTTAATTGTGTGGAAGTAGTGCTGAAGTAATTTAAAGATATGCTAAGTATATTCGATTGTGCTAAAGTGGAACTATTGCAAGCATACTTCAGGTACACTTTAAGTATTTTGCATTTAAAGACTGATATTATACAATTCTCATCAAAAGTGACATTAAAATACATTTTTGACTTAATATTAAGAAATGTGCATTGTGCACAAGTAATACGCCAAATAAAGTTTAATTATAATTTTTAAATCAGAAAGTCTTGAGTTATTTGTCAGTAAATATGTTAATAGATTTTAACTATACTTAGTATGAAATAAATGCATTTTAAATATATTACTTTTTTACTAGGGCTGTCGTTTTGTATAAATGTGAATCAGTGCATTTTCAAATCTGAATGCAACTGCATAGATGTCTATGCAAAATAGTTTTTTTTATCTGAGTTAAAAAAAAAAAAAGTAACTGAAATTAAGTTTAAAAAAAGAAAGTCACCCTGTAAAATATAAAGTCACAATTGCAAAGAGATATGCAGCTGCAATTACCTTTATATATATATAACTATATATATATATAAAACCACTAAAATCTACTTATTATGAAATATATCTGCCCATTATACTTTTTATAAGAATTTTGAATTATTAGAATTATTTTATTTTTATGTTAATATCATTTTGATTTTTAGTAATTTTGTAACGTTCGTTAGTCATTTTTGTTAATTGTGTTTTAGATTCAGCTTTATTATCATTCGTATCACTGAAGTACAATTATCATTTTACTATTATAGTTTTTTTCTGTAATTTTTCTGGTCGTTTTTAATGCCTATATAGTTTTATTTCCGCTTTACATTCAGTTATTTTTAGTACATCAAGTTAAACTAAATTTTAAACTAAAAACTTTTTTTCCCCCAATAAAAAATATGTTGATTTAGTTTATAATAAGCTATAATAGCTCTGTTTAGCTTTCATTCATTCCACATCATGTTTTAGTTTTTATTTCAATTTTAGTTTATTTACACTTGGTAATAGTGTTTAAACTTATTTTATTTAGTTTTAATTAATTAAGTTTTTAATTTAGTTTTTATTAATTTTCATTTAGTCGGATAGTAGATTAGTCTAGTTTAGTCAGCTTTATTTCAATTTAAAGGGGTCATATGATGCGATTTCAATTTTTCCTTTCTCTTTGGAGTGTTACAAGCTCTTGGTGCATCAAGAAGATCTGTAAAGTTGCAAAGACTAAAGTCTCAAATCCAAAGAGATATTCTTTATAAAAGTTAAGACTGGTCCACGCCCTCCTAAAACGGCTCGTTTAAACACGCCCCCACATGTCTACATCACAATGTGGGAAGATTTGCATAACACCGCCCAAATGTGCACGCAAAGAAAGAAGGCGTAACTTTGATTCTCGCTGTAGTATTGTTGTTGCCGCCGCCGCCATGTG